TGAGTTATTCATATGAGTTATTTGGGTGGAAATAACCCGTTTGTTTACAAAAGTTGGTGATGAGTTATTTGTACTTGAGTTAATTTGAAATAACTCGTTAATGAGTTATTGTCAATACCTAATAGGGGTAGTTATTGTGAAATTACTCACAAATACCATATTCTCATTTTGTGAGGAATTCCACTTTTATATTAACTCGTTACACAACAACTCATCCAAACGACCCCCTTCCTTCCTCCTCTCCCCAAACCTTCGCCCCACAGACAAACCCAGCACTACCACCACACACTAATCCCATACAACAATCCCAAATGAAACTAACCTTTTGCGCTATCGGCCACTCTAATCCCGGGCAACCCTCTGCCAACAAACTTCGACCTTTACCAGCCCTTCCCTAATCCGTCCGCTGCCTTCTGCTCACTCAACATTTTTGTTTTTTTATTTATTTATAATTTTTTAGTGGCAGATGCTAAAACCGGTCGGACGACGAGAGCGGTTTGAGCGGTTAACTGCCTCGACCGCTCGCCGACCGCTCCAAAAAACCTTTGCGGCTTATTGATTGTGCCGAGCCGGTTTGGTGATCGAGTGCCAGTTTTACCGGTCGGGCCGAGCGGCTCGGCTCGGTTTTAATAACACTACTACATATAATACACATTATATTCAATTAACTATAACTTGACTCTTAAACTTTAATATTCAATTAACTATAACTAGCGACTTGGGCAAGTATTTGGGTATAAACGTGATTAATGAGCGAGTTACGAGAGCGAGATACAAAGAAATCTGCCTAAAGATTCAAAAGAAATTTGCTCTATGGAAAACGCGTCATCTCTCTTTGGCAGTCCGAATTACTTTGGTGAGATTAATCTCAACTTCTATGTCCATCTACCCTATGTTTTCAGAATCACTACCGGTGTCTGTTTGCAATTCGATTGACAGGATTAATCGACAGTTCGTGTGGGGAGAAGAAGATGGTCAAACAAAATTCCACCCTATAGCTTGGGATCAACTAACTCTACCACGCAACCAAGGTGGAGCGGGGATCAGGACAACTCGGGTACCAATAAGGCTATGCTTGCAAAAGACAGCTGGAGACTAGTTACCGATGACCACGCACTCCGGACAGAAGTGATGAAGAACAAGTGTGCTTGCTCGAGGGACGGATTGGAAATACTCACCAAAACAAAGGGCAGTTCATTTGCTTGGCGTAGTTTCGCCTCTGTCTTAGATTTGGTCAAGAAAGGCTATGTCTTTAATATCTCAAATGGTAGAAGAGCTAAATTTTGGACAGATTCGTGGGTTTTGCAGGTTCCACTCGCTGAGCTTGCTCTGACGGAGATTGACGCGGACAAACTTAACAGCAGGGTGGCGGACTACTGAGATGCTGACCAGGGGTGGAAAGTGGAGGAGTTTGAGTCATTGCTGCCCTCGAGTGTCATTACTAAGATAAGAGCTGTGATGGTGGGTTCTCTAGCTGCAGAAGATGATCGCCCAATCTGGAATTTAACCTCAAGAGGGAAGTTTACAGCGAGCTTTGCCTACAGGGCACTAATTCCTCAAAGCTCAGAATCGCAAACCATTTGGAAAAAAGTTTGGAAGCTGTAGGTGCCTGAACGAGTGCGAATGTTTATTTGGATGGCAATGAAAGGAAAGTTAACCACCAATGCTATCCAAAAATCCAGACACCTCACCCTTGATGACTCTTGCCCGGATTGTGAGGGTGTCCCTGAAACTCACCTTCACTGCTTGAGGGACTGTGATATAGCGAAAGGAGTGTGCAGCAAAGTGGTACCAAGTGAAAGCTAAACGGAGTTTTTCAATTGCAATTATGAGACCTGGTTGATGTCTAATGTTTCTAAAGATTCGCAGGGTAATGGGCGAGGCAATTGGGCCTCCTACTTCAGCCTAGTGTTATGGTAGATTTGGAAATGTTGTAATGACAGAGTCTTCAACGACATCAAGCTCTCCCCCTCGAGGAGGCTCAATTATGTCACAACCAAAGCAAATGAATGATCGAAAGCCTGGGGCGCAGCTAGCGCATGACTTGACCTTAACTCCGAACCTGCAAGGATTGAGGCCCTAATAGGTTGGGTGGCTTCGACCATAGGTTGGTGGAAGCTCAATACTGATGGAGCTTCTCAAAGTAACCCTGGTATGGATTAGTGGTTTCTGCAGCAAGCTTGGTACAGGCTCGACACTCCTTGCCGAATTGTGGGGCATTTTACAAGGCCTCCAGCTAGCTTGGCGAAAGCGAGCTCAATTCCTCATCCTTGAATCTGACTCTCAGTTATCCTTGAATTTGATTAAGCAGCATTCAGACCCATCTCACCCTTACTCGACGATGCTTGGAGCCATTCACCGCATGATAGCACAAAGTTGGGTGGTTCAACTTGTTCATACGTACAGTCGTACAGGACAGGGAATAGAGTCGCAGACTGGCTCTCGAAACACAGTCTCGTCTATCCCTTCAGTATGCATCAATTAGATGAACCCCCAACCACTCTACTTTCGATTCTGCAGGATGATGTTCGGGGAATCAGCTTCCCGAGACAAGTTGTGGAGAATATATAGGTTTGGTTTGTCCCTGCTTAGCTGTTATTTTTCTGGTCTCGGAGTACCTTCCGTTCCCTCATATTGTTAAGCTGGTATGGGAGGCTTGTGAGAAGCTATTTCGGCACCAAGTAATGCCCCCTCCCTGCTTTCTGGACTCAGTCCTGCTTTTACTCTTGTAACTTCTCGGCTGTTTGTTAGCCTCCATTTAATAAAAAAAAAAACAAGTATTGATTGGGCTAGAAATATGAGTGGCATGTCAACCTAAGATTTGAGAGCGGATCTGGTGACTAAGGGGGGGTGCTTAGTCACTTGACTAAGCCCCTCCCAGCCCTTAGATCTGGACACTTCAATCTAATGGTTAAAAAGTGGGAAGGGCTATTTAATTAATGACAGGGGTAGTTTGGGTATTATGGAAAATTACGAAGTATACAAACCAGATTTACAATCAGTACAAACCATACAAACATACGAATAGTACAAACTAGAGCGACAAAACATACAAACATTACAAACGTATGAACTGTACAAACAATACAAACTAGACCGACAAACAATACAAACCATACAAGAAGAAAAAACAATCGGGTTGACTTTCAAGGCTCCATCCCTATATAGAGGGGCTCCTTCCCAAAGTCAACCCGGGTGTTTTTTAGACATACAAACAGTACGAACATGGTGGACAAAAATGACAAACTAGACCGACAATCCATACGAACGGGAAAAAACACCCGGGTTGACTTTGGAGGCTCCATCCCTATATAGAGGGGCTCCTTCCCAAAGTCAACCCGGGTGTTTTTTAGACATAAAAAACATTACGAACATGGTGCACAAAAATGACAAAGTTTACAAACATGGTGCACAAAAATAACAAAGTTTACAAACATTACAAAAAAACCTACAAACATTACAAAATAACAAAGCATACAAACATTACAAAATATGTCAACAAACATCACAAAATTAGCACTGTCGCCGGAAAATTCTTCTCCGGCGACGATGTTCGCCGGAAAAATTTTCCTACCAAAAAAACTCTCTCTCTCTCTCTCTCTCTCTCTCTCTCTCTCTCTCTCTCTCTCTCTCTCTCTCTCTCTCTCTCTCTCTCTCTCTCTCTCTCTCTCTCTCTCGTTGCATTTTGGGGAAACAGCAAAGGAATAGAATTTATTCCCAGCTTCTCTCTCTCGTTGCATTTGGGGAAACAGCAAGGGAATGGAATTTATTCCCAGCTTCTCTCTCTAAGCTGGAAAAAATCACGCTTCTCTCTCCAAGCTGCCGGAAAAAATCCCCCTTCCGCCGGTGGAGAATTCCACAGCCAAGAACCCGTAGCGGGAGGATGAAGGAGAGGTTGTAATTTTTATTTATTTTAATTGTTAAATAATTAAATAATGTAATTACCACTTTATCCCTCATTAAACTAGATAAATCTGAACCATTTGATATTAATGAGGTTCAATGGCTGAGATTGGTGTAGTCATTTGACTAAGGGACCCTCCTTAGGGACCCGGACCCCCCTTAGTCACCTGATCTTAGCCCATAAGATTTAGCTTCATTTCAAATACACATCACATGGGCCATTATGTTGGCTGTTGAATTCCCTTCTCTTCCCCAAAATCGCCTGGGAAATTTCCCAGCTCCTTCATTTCTTTTCTCAAATCTTCACAAAAGTCCCCAATTTCCAGCAACGACATCTCTTCCTTCTTCAAGCTCTATGCTTTTCACTAAATTCTTGCAGTCGGTTCAATAGGATAATTGTTTGAATTAATACTAATTCAAGATTTATATTATTGTTTTTTTGTAATAATCAAGATCTGCACTATCTTTAACTAAAAATGAACTATGTTTTCATGTAGTCTAGTAGGTGGATATTTCACTTTTGCTTAAGTGATATTTGTTTAACTTTGAGCAAAGATATTTTATTTTCTTGTTTAAACATAAAAGAAGTCACATATCGGCCTTGTTTGAGCGATTAACTACTTAAATTAAGTTATTCCTATTAAACTAGTCTGTTCGATCCAACTTTAACAATATTGCACATGAGATATAATATTGTCAATTTTTTTTTCTTGCAAAACTGCTCGTAACTGAAACGAAAAATAATTTTCTCATTTCGGCTCATATGAGGCAAACATATACTGTTCCAAAGATATGTTTTTACATGTGTCAAAATAAATAAACTAATTAGTGTAAAAAATAAAAAATTTAGTGACTCCTTGAACATTTTGGCTTAACTAATTAATATTTAAATCTCACAACGCGTTAAATCGTTAAGTCATTGCATTCGTCAACATTACAATTCTCGTGGTTGGCGTTGGAAACTTCGAGAAGAAACCGATCCGCGAAATTTCAGCCCGTTTGCCCCCGTCAAAGGCCCAACTACAAGTCAAACCGAAGGAGGGTCGTTAAGTCATTTCCGATGACAGCTATAAACCCGAAAAATCAACTGACGTTCATTTCCCGTTTGCGAACGTTTAAAACTTGGCCGAGGACCTATCCCCGGTCAGTCACCCTTCTCCTCCTCCGCCGCCATCCCTCCTCATTTCTTTATTCTCCCCGATCATCTCCGCCGCGATTCCGAATCTCCGATCGTGAAAAATGGGCCACAACGACGAACCGGTGATCGGCGTGCCGTACTATGCCAGTCAGAACCCTTACCAAGCCGGAGTCATCCCTCCCAACGCCGTATTCGGCGATCCCAAGGGCATTCCCCTTCAGCAGACTATGTTTCACGATACTCCAGCTCCTTTCAATTGCGTTTACTGCGGTAGCTCTGGAATCACCAACGTTCGGTAAATCAATTCCATCTCTTCTGCTGCTTCTCCTTGTTCTATTGTTTCGAAATCGTTAGTTTTTGACTGCTTCGAATTGGAGAAATAGCAGGAAACTATTGATTAGGGTTTGAATGTGCTTTTTAGGTTGATTATATTGCTGGATTGTTGACAGTAGCATATTGATTGAGCATGCTAAGGGTCTGGGAGCAGCTTGTATCTGACTTTTAGGTTGAGTTGAATGGTCCTGTCTCCCTATGATCCAGCTAGAACACATAGGCAATCCTGTTTAGGGTTTCTGTTCCATACATCGAAGAAGATTAATTTCATGCTTTCGCGCTTGACCCCATTACGGGGAATTCAATTCATTACAAATGCAGAAAACAGAGAAGCTAAAGCAGCCCTTATTCATTCTGCCAGTCTGAACTAATGTTCCTTGTTCACTTACCTAAGCTCCCGACCTTTGTGTTGATTTGCAGTATTGTTGTTTGCCTTTATAATGGCTATAGCTATTCAACTATGTAATCAAACAGATAAATACATTGCTTTGCTGGTTCCTTGCTCCTTCCTGTTCTGTTGTATGTTAGTATCTGTTTGGTGAGTGAAAAAAAATGTTATGTTCGATTCAGATCAAAGCCTAGTTTGGCAGCTGTTGTGGGTTGCATGATGCCATTTATGCTCGGCGTGTGCTTTCTTTGCCCTTCGATGGACTGCCTCTGGCACAAGTATCACTACTGCCCCAGCTGCAAAGAGAAGGTAAACTAACAAAACTTTTTTGCTTTTGCGTAGTCTGGTGGGTGAATTAGTAACGATTTAAAAATACTTGCCAACTGATGTACACTGTGTTATGTGATCGAATGTAGGTTGGCCAATTCGAGAAGACGGATCCATGTTTAGTGATGGATCTCCCCCAGTGGAAGCAACAGAGCTTTGCGTTGCCTGCATGATGATAAGTTGCCCTCTCCATCATGTTGTAGTATCATTCTGTATGCTTGCTACAGAATGTACCGCCGACGATTGTCCATGAATCGCAGACTGATTTTAGCTCCTGTACTTACTGTACAAAGGGCTATTAAGATCTGTTAAGGGTTTGACGGTTTGTTATCCACAGCAGTTGGATGTTATACTATATACATTCACACTTCATCAATAATATACATATCCGGTCCATCAGAATGTTAGTCTTTGGTTTGAATTCTTGAGTTCAACACATACTAAATCGAGATTAATTTTGCTTGGCGATCAGCATTCGAGCGGGAGCTTGAGCTGTTCTTCTAATCAACAAGTTGAGGCTAACCTAAACTCATCGTGGTTTGATTGCAGTCCTACTAACTCAGCCTAGGAGTGGCAATTTGGTTTTGATTTTTCGGTTTTTACCGAAACCAAACCGATACGGAAGCCAATGGTTCTTTTTTTGTTATAAACCGTTTAGCAGGATAACGGTTTTGGTTTCGGTTAAAACAAAAAATCCAATAAGAAACCGATAATCTAACCAAGTCCTAGCAACACACTCTCGTCAACAAACTCCACTTCTGTTGCCGCTCTTTTCGTTGTTGGCAATCAACTCAAAATCCCTCTTTTGAGTTTGACCGACGACTCTTCTCCGATCTTGGTAACCTAGACCTCTTTCTATTCTTCTTCATTCTGGTTTGCCACATCTTATGCACTGTTGCTGCGCGACTGTGATCTCTCAGCAGCTTTTGCATTGTTACCTGAAGGTGAACGTAGAAAAACAACCACGGGTGGGCATTGTCCAGATTGAGCGCACACTTGCTTCGTCGATTCTGTGTCGATTGGAGAGAAACTGGGTGTTCTAAACCTGCCACCGATGTGCGATGGCATCTCAGTGAGCAGCTCATAGCTTACTATTGTGATAAAATCAAGGCATGATTCGACCGACCTTGTGTCCAATGCTACGTTTTAGATTCTAATTAATCTATTCAAGGAATGTATACTTGGACTCAAGTTTGCTGCTCGATAATTGTTCAATCAACTTATCTTTTTGAACTTCTACATGCAACCCAGCAACCCATCTGGTTTAGACCTGCTCCGAAAAAACTTCCATTGATTAAGAAAGAGGCTTAGCATCTGGCATTTGTAAACTTCGTTTTGGGACGAAACTGGGATCGTATACATGAAAAAAGAAGCAAGCAAGCTCTTATTAAGTTTCATAGTTTTTCTCTTCCCAACAATTATTATGCTTCCACAAACATGTAGTTCGGTCCTTAAATACCGGCTCTTAGCGGATTTAATTTGCTTTACACTCTGCAAGACAATGATTACCGCCGAATTCAACCAGGTACTGTAAATCACCGCCTACAGTTTCCTGATTGATCACAGTGTACATATCAATATCATCTGAGTAGGCCTCGCAATCCGAAGGATCGTAATCAACCTTGCCGTCTTCATCGATAACCGTGATCTGTTTAGCATAACCATCTAACTTGACATCTCCAACAGGCCGACAGCCCGACCCCATCGGCGGCGGGTCGACACCGTAAGGACTGTAAACTTCTCCTCCCCATTCCGCATAGTTGGCGAAGTCCGACAGTCCCGTGAATATCGTTTTCGGCCAAAATCCGACCACCTTATTCTCAAAACCGACCACGAGAACCCAGTCTCCAGTTACGACATCCTGTGCATACGCAAACCAACAACCATTAATCTCCATTATTAATCTTTGTTATCCCGTTTTAATTTAATTATCATCCAACAATGTAAAGCAATTCGTGGCGATGTTCAAGTATAAATACCTTGTGTATGAAGAATCTTTGTAAGAATATCGCTCCACCTCGTTGGGAAACAGGCTGAAAGATGGTATCGATTGGTATATCATGACTCACAATCACAAACCCAGGACAGTAGACGTTGTAGCAGCTCGAATCCTTCGTCTGAGTAGTACCCAAAACAAAGCTTGTTCAAATTTTTTTTATTTTATTTATCATTGTGCTGATAATAATAAATTAATAATGATGATGATAAAAGTAAATGCACGTTCACCATTATCGTTTATAAATTTTAAATGATAATCTGGACATCATTTTATCGAGAGAAGATGTTAAAAAAAGTTTATTAAAAAATAATATGCTAATTTTTTTTATGAATAATTAACAAGGTATAATCGAAAAACTCACAATTGTGTATATGAAAAGTCGAGCTTCTCCATCATGGTACAAACTTGGATTTACCTTAAACACAAAGAATGAAACCTTATTAGTGCGCAGTCACATTATTAATACAATGACCATATGTGCGCCTTTCAAGAACGAGGGAACGCTGTTACGTATGATTAAATGGTTACTTACTACCCATCCTGCTGCAATGCTATCAGGACCATTCTGGAATTTTATACGGCTAGAGCTATATTGGCGATCTTGAACAACAGGTTTATATACAGTGGTCTGCATCCCGCCTCCATAGTATTTTTTATCCCCAGTAGACCTAAGTATCGCAACCTATAAAACAAAGGGTCCATCAACAATGCAAAAATACGAGCATTACGGTCTTGAAAATGGATTATGAGATAACTTCCACGATTCATAGACGACTGTCAATAGATAAAAGATAATTATCATGAATCAACTAAGAATGAATAGCGATAATTAATTACTAACATGAACACCCGGATTGAGAATGGACGATGCAGCTTCATCAACAGATTTCATTTTCACCAAATCATGTTCCGTAGTTCTTTTGATGGGTACCGTTCCAATTGGACATCCTTTTCCATTTGACCATATATTCAATAGTTTGCTACTAAATGAACCTGATGAATTATTTGTTGCTCTTACTTCCAAATCCAAGTGTGAATAGTTCATCTACATGTAAAATCAAAACACAATATTATTAGCTACATATTCGTCGCTCATACATAATTAAACATACTAGAAACAAGAACAAGTTTTTCATGGAATACATACCTGAAAACTATAATTATGATTCTTCAATAAAGGATGATCAAATGCAGGTTGCTTATAGAAATCCACACAATCATATATGTCTCCATATGTTGTCTATTTACACCGAGACAGATCAAGAAAACAGATTCAATACGATTAGTTATGAATTAGGTCACGAATACTGCACAACCAGACAACAATAGACTAGTAATAATGAACTTGTTGAGTTCAGTGTATTAGTTGTAACCTGAATAGTGATGTTTGCAGGTTTATTCAAATGCTCAAGTTGTCTGCTTGCTTTGCTAGGCAAGTTTTGGCCTGTAACGACATAATTATGGTGTTCTAATAACACTAACCAGAGCAACAAGATTACTAATGCAGAATTTAGGATGGTGTCCCCCATATTCATCTGTTTCTCTGTACCAAAGAAAGCTATGTAGACATGAACCAATATATAAAAGAAAATTTTAAGATGGAAATAAGAAAATTATTTACTTTGTTGGCTTATATAGTTTTATTTTTTTGGTCTTTGACCCTTAAATCCGTAAATGAGAATATCTGTGTATTTAAAGCAAAAATATAAACACAATCTCACTTTTCCTACTTCCCTTATTATTTTGGAGTATATAAGGAAATAATTTAAAACACCATTCTCACTTACCTTTTTTAATACAAAAAGAATATCATTAATCCTCCGAAAACCAAATTAATTTTGTTTCTATACATTCAGGGGAATGATGCAGACCTATATATGTATTTAAGACAATAATATCTACAAAGTTTTATATTTCCTTTCTGGTCTGTATACATATTTAAGGAAACAACATCAATACATATTAATTTTTTTTAGCTTTTTTTAAGGTAGTATTTTATGGAGTGTATCTAGACAAATAACTAGCACAAGGCCTGACCTATTGGCTATATAATTTGTATGTGGCATTTATTCATCAATCATCATGGGAGTTCTGTTTGGAATTTGGCCATGAAGTATCTAGACAAATACTCAAATCCCTCTGAATATGATTCAAACGTATTGAAAGCGTGACAAAGACAAAATTACTAACAAAAAAATGCAACTTATGCTACAAACGAGATCAATAAACCTTTTTTTAATTTTCAATTATTAACTTCTTAGCCCCTTTATGTACATATTTCATGACAAGACTTTTTTATGATTAAGTACTTTTTTATGTATTCAAACTTCTAGAATGGACCATAGATTTTAAATTGTACAAAAAATGTCAAAATCTTGACAATAATTTTATTTTGATGGATAAATGCTCAGGTAAAAACCTACATCTACACTTAATATCATTAAATTTTTATAACAATTTTCGCCATACTCCATCAAAGATGACTAAATATTACGGTGATCAATTTATTCGATATTCAATACTTCTCCACTAAGAATTGAGCATAATGATTTAAAAGTAAGTCTTATATAAATAAACCAAAAGTATTTAGGCTCAGTTTGGCCCTGTTGTAGCTTTGCAGAAGCAGCTTTTGGCTTGAGCTTTTAGAGAAGCACTTTAAAAAAAAAAAAAACAGTTGAGTGTTTGACTGAAAATTTATTAAAAGTGTTTTTTAATATGAGAGGTTGTGTAAAATGACTATAAAGGACTTATAATATAAACTATGAATAATAATCCTAAACAATAAAATGTAGTCAAAATGGATATTGTTAAAATTCTTTTATATTAAATAATATGTTTTTATTATTTATTTTATTTTTTACAATGATATAAATGAAAGAAAATTATGTTTTCTGAAATAAAATTAAAATATGATAAGGATAATCATGTATTTTCAAAATAGATTTTCGCAGAGCTTTTAGAGGTGTTTGGCTTTGTTTTACCTTTTGAAGCCGAAAAACAGCTTCTAAACACCGGGACAAACATAGGCTTAGTAGTTGCTTGAGATGAAGTTTATAGGCCAAGTTTTCATAACTCAAAATTAATATCACAACTTCACAAGTGAAAGACGAAAAAGTTGGATCTATTAAATTAACAATAATAATTAACTTCTCTCTTCTCTCTCTCTCTAATCACTCTTCTCTGAAATCTTCGCTTCGTGATGGCGGCGGCGCCGCCAGGCGCAGCGCCGGCTGCCGGGCCGGTTAGCTGGGCTTCGCTCTTTGAGGTGGATCCGGCAAACAAGATGACGTATCGACCTCCTCAGAAGATGAATGATGGGTTTCGGCTTCCTCGCGAAGTCAAAAAGCGGGGAGAGGAGAGGTGGAAGGACTGTCTCATTGCCCAATTTGTTGGGTCTGTTCCTAAACCGGCTGCTCTTCAGCAATGGGCTACCAGTTTGTGGGGGAGGGAAGGAGTGGTCCGTGTCTCCAAGTTTGGTCCTCGATTGATGGTGTTTCAGTTTCCTTCGGCAGCTACTGGGAAGTGGGTATTCAAGTCTGGTCCGTGGCATTTTCAAGGTAACCCGGTGTATTTTCGGAAGTGGTTTCCTGGAATTCAACCTGCTACTCCTGTTGTTGAAACCCTACCGATTTGGGTCAAGTTGTGGGGTATTCCGTTGGAATATCATTCTTTTGAAGGGCATGAATGGATTGCAAGCACGATGGGGGCACCGCTCTGGATGGACCAGACCACTAGGGTTGGGGCGCAATTGGGTTTTGCTAAGGTTTGTATCGATTTTGCAGCTGATTGTGGATTCCCGGATAAAGTTCGTCTTTACCCAGATGATGATCCATCATTTGAAATCGAGATAGAATATCTAAACAAGCCTCTGATTTGTGATAGATGTTCGATTTATGGGCATGACTGTGATTGGTTAGCCAAGAGTGGTAAGAAGTGGATTCCGAAAGTTAAGGTTGATGATGGGAATACTGAAGTGGTGTCTCAGCCAGGTATTGCTCAAGTAAGTGAGTTTTTTCCAGAAATAGCACCTTTAAAAAAAAAAATTACAAAACTAGCACTCTTCCAAAACTAATTACAAAACTAGCACCTATTTTAATGAATCGCACCTTAGAGGTGCGATTTATAAATGAAACGCAGCCTTAGAATGCGTTTCCTTCATAAATCGCACCCCTAAGATGCGATTTCTATGGTAAAACGCATCCCCAAGATGCGTTCAAAGTTTGGTCGCCAGCGACCTTCTGGATCGCACGATTAAGATGCGATCTGACGGGCTGCAGCATAGCCACGTCAGCAATCCGCGCGACTGAGTGTGGATCGCACTTGTGAGGTGCGATTTCTCGCCTGGAGAATTGGAGCGTCAGTTTTCTGCGCGTTCAACGCATCGGGACGCGGGGATCGCATCTGGGGAATGCGATTTGGCGTGGGTATCGCACCGGGGAGATGCGATTTCTACGGGGTAAAATTACCCTACCGCCCCCGAGGGGTGCGATCTGTTGGGTATAAATACCCCCCCTCCCCCTCTCATTTCTTCACTCCACACAACCCATTCTCCTTCTCTCTCTAGATATAATCTCTCTAAACCCTCCCCTCCCAAAAGCCTAGGAAATAAAAGTCTGTTGGTTGCGGCTAAGTCCGATCTGTTGGAATGAGTTGTGTCCCATTCAAAATGCCGAGTCATTGCTTCAGTCTCAAGGGCGTGCCGCACATCCTTCTTCGAGCCAAATTGTTGGCCCTTCGTAAACCCAGTGAGTGGGCCCCATATTGGGACCTCTGGCGGCTCCATGTCGCTGTCGACCATCCAATTGTCGTCTGGAATGTGATTGTAGTAGGGGACTGGTACACGGTCAGGAGCCACATCACCATCATTATCTGAACCCGAATCTGGTGCTGAATCATCAGCACCTTCAAGAGGGTCTGAGCTGTCTGCACTGACGTTGTTTTCTCCTTCTTCATCAGAGGGGTCGCTGACTGGTCCTGGTGTAGCAGCCTCCGTCTGATCCTGCTCATGAAAGGCACCTTCATCAGCTCCATAATGGTAGTTGTGAAAACTACCGCTGCCTGTCAGGAAGTTGTACTGGGCTTGGTTGGGGATGTCCGGTTGAACTTCTTCTTCATATGACGAGAACGATTGATGATGGCCTGCACCTTGCCCTCCATCTTGGTACTGAAAATAGGAATGAGGATCATGGTAACTTTGGTAGGGATGATCGTCATATAATTCACCTCCACCATGGATACCAGATGTTTGACCGTGTCCAGAATGACCTCCAACACTAACGGCTGGCTCGGTGTAAACGAACATCTCGGCTTTGGCCAAATTGTTGGACCTCAAGAATTCGAGCATGGAATCTACGTCATCTTGAGTGGTTATGGTATATTCCTCATGCCACAATGACCCAGTTGCTCTGTTTGGGTATCGGTACACCATACGATCTACCCTCCTCGTGCCATCCATGCAAGTAACGTCAGTGCATATTCGATGGAGGTCTTCAAGCTTCGGTCTGGTACCGACCGTTACTTTCTGAAAATTGCCACCGACGTAGGTGGCCCCCTTTCCGGTGTCTTCCGTGTAACCATTCCACCGTAAGCCAAGCAACAACTGACGGAATGCCATCTGCACACAAACAAACCATAGTTTTAGTTAATATCATAAAAATCACAAATCACAAATAACAATAAAAAGTAACACAAAATAAACTTACGAGTTAATGTTAATGCAATAAAAAGTAACACAAATTAAAGTTACGAGTTAATGTTAATGGCATAAAAAGTCACACAAAATAAAGTTACGAGTTAATGTTAATGGCATAAAAAGTAACACAAAATAAACTTACGAGTTAATGGCATAAAAAGTAACACAAAATAAACTTACGAGTTAATCTTAATGGCAAA